GTGGGGGTTATCCACGCTCGCTGGTGGCACCCGCGCTTGTGGCGGCTCCGGGTGCGCGGCGAGATACAAAGCGCAAAGTGCTAATATTGCAAAAAACGAGAGGCAAAAAAGAGGAAATTTGCGGCTGTCGGGGAGACAGCGAGAGAAACGGCGAGAGGGATGGCACTGTAATTGTTGCCTTTACCAGGGCTCCCAGATTAAACCACCGGGACTTATTCTAAAGTGACCCATCACTGAATTCATTTCTGCTTGAACTTTCGGTGAACCTGAGATTAAAGAGGGGAGAGCAGCTAAGCAGTTTGTTGTTAGCTGCCTTTTCAACAGCCCTTTCAGACTGAGTAAATATTGATCGGTTTCAATCTGATTGCCCCAGAGGAAAACACCAAAGCATCTCAATAGCCTCCAAAAGTAAACTTTAAAGGTGAACAGCTGAAATGGCCTTAAGTATGATAGGAAGATGCTAAACTGCGGTTGACAATTGGACACAGTTTGATTTGTCTTTCTCTCTTTCTCTCTTGTTTGTTTGTTTCTCTTTTTTCTCTCTTTTCCTTCTTCTTCTTCATTTTTTTTCTCCTGAGACTCTGGAGAGAAATAGAAAAAGCGGGTGCAAAAAGAAGAGGATCCCTACAAAGTGCAAATGAGGCTCTCTATCAGGCCAAAGCGCTCTCTGATCCTTAGCGTTATTTTTGTGTTGGAAACTCTCACGTGTGGAGTAGCTAGAAATGCTCTTACCTTCCCCCGACACTCCCTGACCTGAGAGCTTGATCCTATCGAAATAATAATAATAATAACAAAATGAGCGGGGATAAGCGGGCTTGGTCTGCGAAAAAAAGATAAACGTAGGTTTCGGGTTGAAAGGAGAAGAGATTCTTTGCCGATGAATCGCTCACCTCAGATTGACGTACTGACAAGTGTCTTGTCTCTCGTATTTAGGCTATAATTTATGGCTGCTCTTTCTAGCACATTAAGTCAACACCGGGGGAGCCGAGTTGCAGATCCGGATTCCGGCGATGTTTAGATCCAGATTTCGATATTGAAATGCCCGGCTCCTTGGCAAGATAGCCCGGCCCTGGATATGGCCGCCGCGCCTTGCAAATCACGGCTTGTCTCTTTTGACACTGAAGTGCAGAAAATTTCGGTGACTCTCAGCGGATTCCGCCAAGTGGAGTCTCCATAGGCAGCCGGGCCACGAGGAAAGCAGGGGCACGCTCCCCTGAAGATGTGCCGGGGAAAGAAGATGTTAGAGTGGTTTGGGCTTTTTTGGTTTTGTTTTTTTCCTGAAATTCAAGAGGCAGAAGCGACTCGAGACCTCCCTGAACGTGTCTGTGCTCTGTGTGCTCTATCCTGGGACCCGGGCTCTCCATGCACCCACCTTCCCGGCCCGGTTACTCATTTGGTACCTCTTGGAAATGGCTGATTTTTACTTGCCATGACTCGCCCTCTTTCAGAAAAATAAATAAATAAATAAATAAATAAGACAGTTTGCCAGAAACTCACTGCCAGGCACCTGGAAGCCATCTCCCACCTTTCCAGCCGTTCAGGCATGAAAGTGGCAGCGCGGGGGAAAGGAGAGGCAAGGAGGACCAGCCTAGTGCCCAGGCTAATTAAATGCGCAGCCCTTAGCGAGGGGCCTGCGATGTGAGGAAAGACTGGCCGAAGACAGTCTCTGCTTTTGAATTGGGCTCTGTTTATAAAAGTGTCAGCATCCATCTCGAGGTGAAAAGGTTAGCACTTGACCCAGGAAGTTCTCGTGTGTGTGCTTCAAGGATAGATCTGCATCATAAATTCCTCCCTTATACAGTGAGGGGGAGAGGAGGGCTTTTGTTTTCTAAAAAAAAAAATAATAGGATTCGAGCATTAGAAAAGGGAGGAAGTGTGTGTTATGGAACCAGACCGGACATTCCCAGCTCAGAGTCCAGAATGAAATGAAATGAAATGAAATGAAATGAAATGAAATAAAATAAAATAAAATAAAATAAAATAAAATAAAATAAAATAAAATAAAATAAAATAAAATAAAATAAAAATGTGGGTTAATGCTGGGAGGTTGTTGCCTCCTTTCTCCTTTAGAAATATCCCATCAGAAGACACTAATGAAAACCAAACTGCTGAGCAGAGCTGGTGACTCGAGGTGACGTCACGCCAAGATAGGCAAACAAGGGATACCTGAAAGCTGAATATATTTATTACAGACATTATAAGGACCCGTAAATCGTGCTCAGGATTCCTTCAGTCCGGAACCGCAGAGCCTCTGTTGATTGTACAGAAAAGGAGGGAGCTCCCACACTACAACCGATGGTACTCGATGTAGCTGGAGGACAGCAAAGCACTGTGCAGCATGCAAACTTCCAGACACGAATCACATAAAATATACATTCATTTGGCCAGTCGTCCCGTTTACGATTAGGTTGAAAAGACATCGAGATTTTTTTGAGGGGAGTTAATATGAAAATAGGACGAGAGGAGGTCTTGGGGACAGTAATATATAACTCAGCCTGGCGGGAGGTGGGGGGGGAAAGCACACCGGATAAGGTTTACAAAACCTAGTGCAATTGAAGCCTTGTTTGTCACATTTGAAAGACATAGCGTTACTCTTTGAGGTATCTGCTTGAGCTTGATTCATTTGCCTTGATGCGGTCGTCTGTCTTCCCAATATAAAACTGGAGCCAGTTTCGCGAATGCACCCACCCTGCTTCACCTGATAATCTAAACGTCATTTCTAGAAAAAATCTGTAAAAAGATAAATCTCTCGGACAAAGTATTTACAAGCAACAAACTCATAGACTCGGACAAAGGACACATTAAATTAAAGGGTGAAAGTCCTATACGTCGTGTAAACACTTCCAATAGTGCATCTCTTCAGGAGGTTATGTACCCTAGACAGCCTGTCTTTCGCTCGGGGGGAAACGCAAAGAAACGTCCTCGCCACGGAGGAGGGAGACCCTTAAGGGGGGACCGGCGCATCCCCTCTGGCAAATGGGGGGCAGAGAGAAGAGTCCTCGTGGCACCCAGGCCCGAGGCCCTTTGGGGGCACCGGGGCTCTGGGAGAGAACAACCAGCCAACACACACACACAGAACAGAGTTAAACCGGTTCGAGCTACGGAAGGGAGGTGACCTGGGAGCCGGGGCTCCAAGCCGAACTAGGGAGGGGAGCGCTCCGACCCGTCTCAGTTTGAGGTAGCGAGAGTGTCCGAGGTAGAGGAGGCTGGAGAGGCCGAACAGGGCGACGAGCAAGACTTCTCTGAGGACTCCTCCGCTTTCTCCTCGCAGCCCGTGGGGGTGGCTGGGGAGATGGGAAGCAGCCCCTCCTTCTCTCTCTTCTTCTGCTTCATCCTCCGGTTCTGGAACCAGATCTTGACCTGTGTCTCGTTGAGTTGCAGGGAGGCTGCGATCTCCACTCTCCTGGCCCTGGTCAGGTACTTGTTGAAGTGAAACTCCTTCTCCAGTTCCGTGAGCTGCTTGGTGGTGAAATTCGTCCTGACCGTGTTGGGTTGCCCCACGAAGCCGTACTCGCCAGCTTTGCCTGCAAGGGGGGACAGGCAGCGTTAAGTAAGCGCAAGTGATTTATAGGCGACGTAATCAATATGTCCACACCAACTAAGCGATAGGGAGCAAGAACTTCTCGGGATAAGAGGGAAGCGCCGGCAGTGAGTGATGGAGTGCGAGGTGCTAAACCAGAGTCAGCCTCCAGTGTCAAAAGAAACTTGATAAGTGGTTTATGAATCGCAAGAAATACGAGCGCGGGAGGGGGACAGGCACAAGCGGCGTTCACCGCGAGTGGGGCGCCCAGGCGGCAGGCGCAAAGCTTTACCTGCAAAGCCAGCGCAGGGGACACCTGCCTCGCCCGGGCTGCCCCGAAGGCAGAGAGAGAAACGAGCTGCCCCCCTAGCTGCTTCCCGGGCCCTTGCGGCACTCACCTGTTTTGGGTGGGTTCCTCTTGACTTTCATCCAGTCGAAGGTCTGCGCGGGCGGCGAGCTCTCCGCGGAGGGGGGGCGCGCGCTCTCCTGCTGCCCCGCGTGCAGCGGGGAC